ACGAGGAGCCCGATGGAGCCCTGCCTGTCCAGGCTGTATGCCTTTGGGGTTATGGAACCTTGTGGGCTTTTCCAGAGAAAACTCAACAGCTGTTTTCCACAAAATGTTTAAAAGATCAAATTAGCCTTAATGCTGGATTGTCCATTCAAGATTAACAATCTGTTGTGGCTTATTTATGCTTAAAGATTTCTGTTTATTTCCTCTTGCAGTCATGCACATGATTTGGGTAAATTATGAGATGAGAAATAGTTTTCAGAGTATTAGATGGAATTTGCCCCCATCGAAGTTTGTAAATGTGTTCAGGGGAAGGGGGAGGAAGGCGTTCACTGCCTAATCAGTTTTGCATGTCATGAAAATTAAATTCCTCTCCAGGTGCAGCTTCAGTCTCATGCAACTTAAAGTGATAACAGTTATTCGATTTTTAAAAAAAAATTATTCCAAAAGAAAATCATTTTAGGTCATCTCCCCCAACTCTGCTTGTTTGCTTATTGCTTAATAAATGTAAAAATAAACCTGATGGCTACAGACAGGAGGCATTGTGTGGAAGGAACACACATCCTTTAGAAGGGTTGATAGACCCTGATATTCAGCCCGCCAAACGACAAGAGCTCAGGCTCACGGGTTTGCATAAGAGCACTGCTCTGCCCAAGTTAACATGGAAGCAATTTTGAATCTTTCTATGCCTAGTTCCCCTTCCAGAAAAGCAAGGAGTGGCTGTCATCTCAGGAGAGTGATCCCACACCACGGAAGGAAACCTTCAGCCACCCCACACAACTGTGGAGCGTACCCAGTGCCGGGGCTGGGCTTATCAAGAATAATGGTGTAGAAATGAAGGGTTCAGTCCATAGCAGGGGTACTGTAAATATAAGGTTAAAGACCCCTGAAACCCCAGCACTCATAGAGGATAAAAACCCCCCCAGGTGGTGGATGGTACTGGAGTGATAAAGAGTTCAGTTTTTTTAGGTCATTTTGGTGAATATCTATGAATTTCCAGGATTTCTTTTAACAGTTAGCATTGACTACAGATTCACTGGCCTAAGTGGCAGTGTGCCTTCTCCCTAACTGTGGGTAAGTCGGGCATGCAGGGGTGAGGCACCCTGGGCCGGGCACTGGGACACAGTGAATGCGGCGGGAAGTGCTCGCATCAACACTGAATGGTGCGCAGCCCAGGACTGGCTCTTACTTCAGTGTCTCTCTCCTCAGGGCTTTTCTTCCAAGGTAGCTTTGTGAAGCTTGACTTGGACTTGCCTAGCCTTGGAGGGACCACAACAGGAAGGCCTAATAGATCATGAACTAATCCCTCAAAAAGGGCCACTTGCCCAGGTGGAGGAAGTGGGCCTCTCCTTTCTCTGTCTGTGCCTGGCCTGGCTGTTCAAGGAGACTGAATTCCAAGCTCAGGACGTCTGGCAGACTGGCTGTGACTTCCAGCCACCATCACTGGGACAAGAGGGTTACTGAATACTGGTGTGGGCTACATGCCTCAATGGGCTAGGAGGGGCACGGCCTCTGAGATGGGTAGAGCCTTTCCACAAAGGCCTGGGAACCTGATCCTGGCCACGAATCTGTGAAAGTAGCACAGCCCTCAGGAGAACTACGAAAGAGGGAGATAGGCTAGGAAATGTCATCAGTGTACACCCAGGCCTGGTGGAGCTGGTCTGCCCCAGCTGGGGTGAGACCCCACTGAGGCGGAGCCTTTCCTGGCACCTCCAGGAGGGCGTTCTGCATTTACAAGCGCCCCTCATGCATCTGAAATACCAAGGGCCATGTTCCTTCTTGTGCGTCTTTCTAGGAGCTCAGTATTTCGGTCGTTGTCTTGGCTGGTGATGGTTATTTCAAAGCTAAAGCGCCAGTCGGAAGGGCTTATTGCTGAAGGCAGTTGTGCTTATGTGGGGTGGGGGTGTCACTGCCTACTCGAAAGTATCCACTCCTGTGGAACAGATTCAGCCCCTAGCACTTGGGGCTGTGGCAGCTTCTGCACACTTTCTCTTTAATGGTAAAGAGACAAGGTTGGAGTTTTCATTCAAGAGCACGGTGATAGTGGTGAGAAAGGGGATTTGAGCCCACAGCTACCTGGCTCCAGAGTTCACTCTTTCATCACTCCCTGCTGCGTTCTTCTTGCGCTTTAGCATTTTTAGTGCATTATATGCCTCCAGACCTCAGAGTTCACATTTAGCCGTGATAAACTGCCGTGAATCCAAAGAACGTTTAGTGTCTCCTGTGGCGAGGTCCTGAAATGATTATTGTATTAGTCAAACTGAATGATCATGGAGCAGTATGGAGATGTCAGATGCAATCCCTGTATTGTAAAACAATGAGATTTAATGATGGATAAGATGAATTCACAAATAACTAGAACTCAGGGGCAATGCGCACGGCCTGTAGAACGGTGTCATGCTGAGATCTGAAGAAGAGGTGTCGTGGCAGAGCTCCACATGACCGTCCCCTCCACGCAGCCAGGATGAGAGGAGCAGAGCTGAGTCCTGCCTCCCTGTGGGTGTCACGGCTGAGGTGAGGAGCTCTGGTGGGATGGTGGGGGGTGGGGAGCGGCGGGGCGGCGGCACGGCAGATTGAAGTCAGGGATTCTCTTACACCTGAGTTTGAAATGCCTCCTATTCAAACAAAGCAAAATATCTAACAGATGGTTAGATGTGAGTCTCAAGGAGGAATTCACTTTGAAAAGCACAGAATTAACGTGTATTGCTTGTATGAAGAATCTCAGCTAGAGTAACAAGGTCGGATGGGATGAATTAGGACTGATTTGAAGAATGATTTACTAAATCGTTCTTTCCTTTTCCCCCTTAGCAGATCACACCACCAGCCGCTTAACAACACAATACTTGAAAAGTTGTTTCTTCTTACCTCTGAGTGAGGGTAAGCACAGGCAGGGAGAGGGGTGAGCCTTTTAAATGGATAGAGTACCATCTGTGATTATCATCCCAGACAGGGAGCGGGTGGGAACACTGGTTGCCTGGAAAATGTGAAACAGACTTACTTCTTTTCTTTTGCTGCCAGTTTTGGTATTCACAGAAGGTGTATCACACCTGTGTGTGTAATGATGGTGGATGCTTGTGTAGCATAGTGACTTGGGACAGAACAGCACAGTGGATGAGGCTGGAGGTGGCGAGCTAAGTAAACAGGCATTGCATTGCACATTTTGTAGGCAAAGAGAAATTGAAGCATCGCATGATTTTAACAAACTACTTGCCAGATGATTTCAGCACACAGTGCAGAATTTAGAATCAATAATGTCAAGATAGCCAGACAAGTCACATAAAACCAAGCACTATGGGTTTTATATTATCTTTGGAGGAGAAACCTTTTTGTTCTGTGTCCAAATAACTCTTTAGCTATATACTGGCATAACATGTGAACAACTCTAGCAAGAAATGTCAAATTAGGGATGCCTCCTCTAAATGGGGCTTAGAATATAACATTTTGAAGGAAATCCTTTTTGATACACAGCTGACTAGATGAAGGACCAGATAACAAGTTCATGAGTTGTAAATATAAAAGTTGTGTACCACAGTAAAAAAGAAAAAGAGGTATGGCTGCATTGTTGATGCTGGTCAAATAGCCCCCAAGAATCCGAGGGTGACTCCAACGCTGCCACCTTCCCTCTGTGGGCGCGTTTGCCTGCGGATGCGAGTGTACGCATCTGCGCCCCAGTTTGCACTCTCGAGACACCCACTCATAGTGCAGAATGGCGCTGCACTCGCTGTCTGATTAATGTGGCCTTAATGTTGTAGATACACTGTGTCACTTTCATTCTCCCTCCTCCCCACAAAAGATGCCACTGAGAACCCATGAACTGGGATAAGCAATGAACAGAGTAACAGTTGAAGAAGCACCTCAGGAACCTCCCCAGAGAAACGGGATGGAGGAGCGCCCAGGGTGCTCTTGCTTTCTCCTCTGCACAGCCATGTCCGTCCAGCCTGGGTTTCTAGCTCTTTGGGGAGAGTCCCCTTTTTGTGGAATGCTTTCTGTGTTTCCTACCTCAATGCCTGAGGAGTGACCAGTCGTGCTCCTGGCTGATGGCTGCCAGGCACTGTGCTTTTCCTAACTCATCGAGTCGCCCGCACGGGGAGGCCACACTCACAGCTCCAGGCCTGCTGTTTAGCCCATGGGGCCTGGCTGTAAAGTTGCCCCAGGGGATTACAGGATCTACCAGCCAAGTTTAATTTGGCTACCTTAGAAAACTGCAGCAAGGCCCTATCAGCTTCCTGTTAGACACACAACTACATTTAAATTAAAGTTTGCACCTCTAGGGAGTGCTGATCTGAAAATAATAGCATCCTGTCTCTGATTATAGAGCCCACTTACTGTTATTAATTGCTGATTCTTATTTTACAAAACAAAATTATAAAAGCGTTACTATTCCAAGAGGTAAGGGATTCTCTATTATACCCTTACCCCAGCCTTCTCAAATTTCCAAATCCTAAAGACTGAAGAAATTTGTGTGACTATTTAAAATTGAATATTTCTGGCCACGCACAGTGGCTCAGGCCTGTAATCCCAGCACTTTGGGAGGCTGAGGCGGGCGGATCACGAGGTCAGGAGTTTGAGACCAGCCTGGGCAATATGGTGAAACCCAGTCTCTACTAAAAATACAAAAATTAGCTGGGTGTGTTGGTACGTTTCTGTAATCCCAGCTACTTGGGAGGCTGAGGCAGAAGAATCGCCTGCACCCGGGAGGCAAAGGTTGCAGTAAGCTGAGATAGCACCACTGCACTCCAGCCTGGGCGATGGGGGGCGACTCTGTCTCAAAAAAAAAGAAATTGAGTATTTCTAACTATGATCTTTTCAAAAGGGGCGGTTCACCAGGCCAGTGATACTCTATGGACTCCATTTCGGGACCTCTACCCCAGCAAGGATACAGGTTCCTGTGGGTTTTGAAGATGGGAAAGTTGTCTCAGAATTTACCCAAATGTCATTCTCACCATAAAAGATATACTTTTAGAAATGAGAAATTTCAACAGAACTCAAAACACTGGACACAACAATAACTATAAACATTTTAATTTCAAAAACAAAGGTGTGCACTAGTGTTCTGTGACAGTGGGTTGCGGGGCTTGGAGAACAAGCACTTGTCCCTGTGAAGCCCACAGGGCGCTGGCAGCCCACAAATCGCTTAGACTACAGTGAGGAGCGTCGTGTGACTCAGGTGGCTTTCCATGCACCAAATGGACTTGATTTCTAAACTCACATCCAAACGTATCCTGGCTTTTCACAGAATACTTGAGACATGACTGCATGCATGATCACGGTTCTTGTGAAACTGCCACCATATTATGCTTAACAGCTGCATAAATATGATAAAGAAATAGGGTTTTCTTGACACTTAGATTTAAGCCTAATGCATCTGCCTAGCTGATGGCGTCAGATGTGCTGCCGTTCATTCCTTTTTCACGGTAACAGTAATGTATAAAGTGCCAATGATACAGCATGCAGTTGTCTTATTTTCTTCAGGGCATTCATTTCCTGGCTCTGTTTACTCTAGTTGTTTTAAGATAGTAAATGGCTTTTGTTTGAGATTGCAGATTCTGGAGCGTGTGTGGTGCCGTCCACGGTGTGTTGCTCTGGGCGGCGCCATGCCTCGGGGAGGAGCTTCAGTTTGGCTTCTTCGTTGTTTCCCCATTATGTGAGTTGTGTTTTTGTTTTTTATTCAAAAACCTGAGGTAAGTTCTGTGTTTTGGAACAGTTCTCCTTTTCCACAGGAGGAGCCCCTCATGGATCGCAGTGTTGGGTGGTTGTGATTTGGGGAGAGCAGCACAGGTGGAAGCTGTGGGGGCGTCGACCTCCCCCCTCCCCCCTGCCAGCTGTGCGCCTGTCACTGCTCGTCTGACGCACTTTGCTGGGAGGCTGTGTCGTCCAGGCCCATGTCCTCCTGGCTTGCTCTCCTGCAGACCACCCTGAGAGTCTCCGCCACAGCCTCAGCCAGACGTGGGTCACGAACCTGCCCCTGCTCAGTGGTGTCGTTGGGCTCACACGGCTCGGAGAGGTGCTTCCAAAGAGAAGAAAGAAAAGCAGTGGACCGCTCAGCAGATGTTCACTACCCACTTTTAATTGGCACCCCCCACCCTGTGCTATGGGAACTAAAGGCTGGTGCTGCCCAACCTTGAGGTGAAGTTCTAACGTCAGGTCAAATGACAGGGGGCCAGCATGGTGGCCTCTGAGGACAGGACAGCAGCTGATGCTGCATCTGGGACACAGGGCCTCTGCATGCCGGCCTTTCTGGTTGGCTGTGCTGGAAAGAGCGGCCCTGGGGGAAAGGGCGTTTGTGCGCCTGGATTTCCAGTTGTGGTCAGTGTGACTTCATGCACACTTAGCCCCTGTCATGAATGCTCAGTTCCAGCGGGCTTGACCCCAGTAGGACACAGAGGCTGTTCTATTCTGAGGGCATGTGGTCCCAATGACTCAACTGCCCATTTTGGAGAGCAGGAAGGAGAATTTGACAGAATCCCAGAACTGCACCCACAGACTGACTTTAACACAGATTGGGGCAGGGAGAAGGGTGATATTTTATGCATTTATACTGACGAAATAAAGAAAAGGGAGGGGAGATTTATTCTTTTAGTTATCTAAACGTAGGTCAAATTCCTGCAGTAACCAGCTCTTTCCTCTTGGCCAGAATGGCCTGGGGGTCCAGGAAAGCCCGTCAGTCTCCTCCTCCATGAAAGATGGCACCCATGGCTGCAATCCTATGGCTTTTCATAGGGAGGCCAGCCCAGCCTTGGCTTCCCCTGGCAGGAAGGCACTTGTGTGGAGAGCTTTTCCCATGAAGGAGAGGGAGGGCGACACGAAGAATGTTCAGGTGCGGTCCCCTCTCTCCATCTGCAAATAACCACACCAGAACCAGAGGCCAAGCTGCTGCAGCTCTGGTGTTTGATGGAAAGCCTGAGCCATGGGCAGGAAAACCTGAACACTCAAAAGGAGTGGGGGAAATCTCCAAATCGGACCCAGTTTTGCCTTGACACCATCGATCTTCCCCATCTACTGGTTACATAGAACTGCCGGGTATTTACCTTTTTCTCGCTGATGAAGCTGAAGAATTCATTTCATGTCAGCTGCCTTGGAATTCTGGACAAGTAACAGCTTATTTGGGTGACGTCCTTAAAACTCTCCTTGTCTAGTATTGAAATACCTAGAAGCAGTGGGCTGTCTCAGCAGCTTTAAAGTTAAATCTTGGCTGAGAGACGATGATCTAACTCCAGCATTGAAAGCTACCCTTTCCTCTCCCTCAAGCCAGAAATCGTGTGAAAAGAGTCCCACCGTATGGATGAATGGAGAGCATTCCCCCTCACTCCCAGGTGCAGGGCTGGTGGCCTCAGTTCTACTGAACCTCTGCATCTGGCGACTCTTTTCAGTGCCTGCCTGGGTATTATCATTTACAGGACGTGTGCTGTGTATCTTGTCTGCTTCCTAGAGCAGCTAAGCCACTTTGTGTCTAATCACTGTCCTTTGCCATTGTGGGAGCCCCATAGAGGAGGGGATGGGGTTCTGCAGGCAGAAGGATGGGCACCACGCTCAGGCCAGAAGCCCATGCCACCACCCAAGCTCATCCTGGGGAGCCCTGCCCAGCCCCTTACCCGAGTGGCCTGGCTGGCAGCCCTGGCCGAGGGGCCCATCACGATATTGACGCTGCTGGATGACTGGGTGTCACTGGTATTGCCCCCCTCCGCAGCAGAGAGTCCAGAAATGACGAGTGCGCTGGAAAAGCTCCTCTTGCCGAAGAGGAAGCTCAGGGTGGAGCTGGTGGAGGAGCCCAGGCTGGACCTGATGAGGGCCTCGGCCCGCTCGCGGACGCTCAGGTGACCTGTGGTGGTGACGGGTGGGGGCTGAGAGTGCAGGGACGTGGCCGAGGTGTGCAGGGAGAGCCGGCTGCCCGAGAGCCTCTGGGCCAGCTCGTGCACAGAGGTGGACGTCTGGAGGAATGGCTGGCGGCTCTCTAAGTTAGGGCCAGATGAGCTCAGCATGGGCGGCCTTTGGCTTAGCACTGAGTGGGCCTGCACAGACTGGCTCCTGCCTTTCCTCCTACCTTTAAAAGAAAACAGAACATAGAGTTGTAACGGGGGGTCATGAACATCGATGCCTGTGTGGTGAAGCAGGTGGCCTGCTCTGCCTGGGCCCAGGGAACCTTCCTCAGGGTACCATCTGCAAGGCTGGGACAAGAGCTAGAAGCTTGATCACTGCCTCACCCGCTCCCTCAGGCCAACTCCAGGTCCTGAGAACTGAAGGGCACCCAAGGATGGGGGCTAGGGTTGGGGACACAGTGTGAGAAGCTGCAGCCAGGGTGACAGATCTGCCCAGTTTGCCAAGACATTCCTGGTTCTAGCACCGAAAAGTCCCTCGTCCCTAGAAGCCACTTGGTCCAGACAAACCAGGAAGACGAGAGCAGTGGAACTTGGCCTCATGAAGTAAACCCAAATGTGATCCTGGCTCAGGGCTGTGGTTCCTATGCTCATCTGATCAGCAGCGATAAAGGAAAACATGCAGGGTTCTGTGATTTTTATTTGCCATGAAGAAAGAAGGAAGGCGAGGAGAGCTGAAGCTCATGCCATGGGCTCTGTTTTCCAGGACAGCCTTTCCTTACAGGCCCACAGGCTAATGGCCAGGCCTGGGCCTCAGTTCCCATGCTTTTCTCACCCAGCCCCTTTACCCACTGCCTCACCCCTCAGGGGCCCTGCCACCCCAGCCTGGCTGGCAGCCCTGGGCAAGGGGCCCATCACGATGTTGGAGCCGCTGGATGACTGGGTGTCACTGATATTGCCCCTCTCCGCAGCAGAGTCTGGAAATCATGAGCTGAAAGTTGTCTAGACAAGGCCATTTTTGACAAAAGGGACTGGACTACCCCCAAAGATGTGGTTCTGTCCATGCTTCTGGAAGCAGGCCAGCTTCACGGGATCTTCTGTGCCTGATCCACCTGTGTGGTGTGTTGGTCAGCACTGCAGTCTAAGCAGCCTAAAAAAAATGTGCTGGCTAGAACACTGTGTTAACCTGAGCATCCATGATCACGAGGGGCTAATTTTGAAATATTATTTTGATGGGAATAGCTAGTGATGTCACAGTTCTACCAATGGCCTCATGGGGATGTATGTCTCCTGCAGCTGCTACAATTAGGCATTAAGTCAAATAGAGGGGGCTGAGGCATAAGGATCTGAAAGGACGCCCAATGCATTACCTTGTGTTCCACCTCACCCCAAATGCCCAAGTTATTCATTGTGCATCTGGTGATTCTGAAGCAGGTATGGCTGCCTACAGGAGAACCCAGAACTGACACATGTGAGAGGCAATTCATTAGCGATAAATGTGACAATGGGGATTCCAGGGTTCTTCCAGCCTCACCCCACCCCACTGTGGCCTAGGCTGAAGGGGCCTTTCTGCCTCATGTTGACCACGATGCCAGTTTTGGAGGCTGTGATGGTTGAGTGCCCATTTGCAGAGGGCACTGGTGCTCCCATCTCACTTTCTCCTGCTGTGTGCTGAGAGTATGGAGTGCTCACCCCACAGTGCTGTGGGCTTCCACAGGATGGGGCTGCCCTCCCTGGGAGGAGTGTGCTCAGCCCCTGGCACAGGGCCCATCCACCTCTGCCGCAGGAGGGGTGCATCTGGGCCTGCCTGAAGGGTCCCGGCTGGGTAGTTGAATATGTTGCTCTTACAGAGAAAAAAGGAGGAAAGGGACCCTGACGAATCAGAATGAAAAACAGGGATGGTGATTTGTTAGTTTATTCAGCGTCTGGCAAGGCCGGACGTCTGTTTGTGATTTATATCGTAAAAGCAGATCACTGTCCAAAAATAGTCCACATTCATCCACAAGTCAGTGATTGTGATGCTCAACAGAAGACCACCCATACTTGGTGGGGAACTTCCCAGAGAATTCCAGGAACAGAGGGACAAATAACCCACTGTGTGTCAAAGGGAAATGGCCTGCTATAGTCTGTGCAAGACCAAGACTCCCTCCCCTGCCACACAACTTCATTGCTTCTGATTTTCTCATTGCTTTTTTTTTAAAAATTAATTTTGCAAATGGAACAGCACTAAGTAAGCAAACCATGCTAAATGCATTGTGCTACACAGGATCATTATTTTACAATTTAACTTATTTTGCAAATTACTGTATTACCAAGTTATGAATGTTTCTAGGGAAAACCTCCCTAGAACCCAAATGGAAATAGCTTATATATAAATCACCTTCCTTGGTTTATTATCGTGGCACTTAATACCTTTGTCTTTGATATTCTCTGAAAGGTGCTGGTGCAGCTCCTTAGGAATATGAGGACACAGCCTCCCTCTCCAATCTGGGATTCGGATTAGTTATGAATTCCTAACTGCTATCAGTAAGTAGGTCACCAGCCTCCACTGCTCGGCCAACTCCCCTTCCAGCAATGATACACTTTTTACCTCAGCAAGACGGTTGCAGGTTGTCAGGCCCTAGATGAGGCTGGCAAAGTGGCGCCTGTCAGCTGGGTGCAAAGTGCTGTGTGCACCAACAGCAGCAGATGCACAGTGTGGCCAGCCTGGGGAGAGGAGTTCTGCTTGTGGGGTCTCAGGCAGGAGGGACCCCAGTCCTCTGAATTAGCAAGGGCTCAGGATTGGGATACCCGGCCAGAACTGAGGCAGGGACCAAGGAAGGGTGGGGCAGTTGGTCCCCAGTTATGGGAGTTGAGTCTTGGTGACCTGGTGAGTGAAACAAGACCCTTGTTAGAATTTGGTTCAAATTCGCCCTTCAAAACTGCTCACCCGTTGCCACTTGGCTAAGGGTCTCTGTTGTGCCCTTTCCAGAGAGGCAGGTCCTCCACTCTGAGAGCCCCCAACCACCTCTTGAGTGGCACTCAGCACACTGTGTTGTCACTGTCTGATGCACAGTGCTCTCCACCCTGTGCCCTTTCTGCAGCAAAGGACCCCTGTATCACTTCTATAAGCTCAGCACCCAGCACACTAACATGTAAGTAAAGGATACACGAGAAAAACCTGAAAAACTGACCTGATGCCAAAAGCCTGATTAGAAATCCAGTGAGTCCCAGAAAGTTCAGGGTGGGTACGGTGTTTCTTAAACTTGGCAATTAGAAGCATTTCAAAAAATTAATCAATGCCTTGACTAGAGGTTGAGACCCATAGGCAAGCACCTGTCAATGGGCCCAAGGGGCCTCCATGTAGACTGGAGGGCAAGCTAAAGGTTCGGAAAATTGGAAGCTGATTTTTCCTTTGTTCCAGGTCAAGTACGAAGACCCGGGATCAGGAGTGTCCTCCCTGTAGCTGGAGAATGGCCTCTAATGCCCCTGCATTGGCCAACCAGGTCTCTGGCTTCCTTTCTGGGAGCTGTGTGGCTCAGCTTTGATGGGCGTGGTTGTTTTACGTAACTGGGAGGAGGGTGAGAAGGAGGCCAGAGACTGAAATCAAATCCAGTTATCCTCACATCCCCAAAGGGAATGATGGCCTGCTGGGAATGGAAGGTAGGTAGTTTCCCTAAAGTGTCCCAGGCAGAGGTGGCCCAGCCAGGCAGAGCCACCCCTCCCACAGTGGCAGCCTCCTTCTTGGGCTTGCTCTCCTGGGAACCCCAGGGGCCTCCTGCACACTGGGTCTCAGGTGCAGTGTCTTAAAGTGAATGAAAGCTCTGTGCTCCCAGTCCCAGTCAGGGCTGGAGACCAACATGCCCACACCATCTGCATCCATGAAGGAGGTCAGAATCAGGGGCATGGTCAGGTGCAGGAGGCAAGCCTGTGGGTGCAGCTCCTCTCTCATTTATGCCGCGGGCATCTTCTAGCATCTGTTGTTCATCAAGTGCCAAGGGTGCCATGGTGTGGGAGCCCTCAGGGCGTTCACACCTGCCCGTAACTTCCTTTTCCAAGGCCAAGGGCTCCAACCTGAGGCCCAGGAGTCTATGTGTGGGGCGAGTTGCTAACCACCAAGGGACATGGAGATAGGACAGTGGCTCCTGACCTTCTACCGCCCATGGGGAGGCAGCAAGTGTTGTGAACCACAGTGGAAGCTGGCAAGTGCCCCACTGCAGCTTCCAATACAGTGGGAGTAGAACGAAGGTGACATTTACATTTTCCAGGGGACAAGAAGGAGAAAGAGTGTGGGGTAGGCAAGTTATCCCTTTCCCATGCCTATTTTGGACCTCTCTAGATTTTTTCCAGGAGATCCTGCTATGCTCAGGGTGTCTCTAGAATTCCTGCTGCCCGAGGCTTTCCTGGGGCCCCAGATGCTAGCGTGAAGCAAATATGCATATACCTTCCCCCCTTTCGAATTCGAGTTTGGACTCCAGCCCTGTCCCCGGTCACCTCCCCAGAGTGGCCATTTTGCTTATGTTGCAGGCCTTGGGGTTCCTCATGAGCTTTACAGGACTTGCCCAGGAGCCCTCAGTGAAGGCAGCTGCCATGGCAGAGGCTGAGTGTGGAGATGTCTGGGCAGCTCCGGCAGGGCTGCAGGGTGGCAGGGTGGGAGGGCAGGCAGCAGGGCTGTCCCCTGACATCTGCCCCACTGGGCCTCATGCCTGGCACCTTCCCATAGCTCAAGGGGCCCCCTCAGGGACTCTAGTCCAAATGGTCTGGACAGGCAACTGCCCTGCAGTGCTTATCTTCCTCATAGGGACTGCTCGAGGATCTCAGCTGCATCTGAAGATCCTCGAGCCTGGCTGCTCTAAGGGTGAGGGAGCACCCTGAAGGGGACCATGAGTGCGGTCCTCCCCTCAGCCTGTCAGCTGTCTTTAATGCCCCCCTTTTCAGAGCCCTATCACCAAGCATCACCAGGAGCCTTCAGTCTTGGGTCTCCTGGAGAAGCCTTCCAGATAGTTGAGTCACATCCTGGAGGGATTCTGGCAGGGGGATTGGGGCACCAAGGACATAATGCACATTTCAGGAGAGCCAACAGGATCAGCAGCTCTGGGCTCCACTGCTCTTGGCTGTGATAGAACCTGGCTATAGCTGGAAGTCTGAGACCTGAGGGCCTTGCAACCTCACCCTGTAGGGAAGTTGTAGTGTAAGTGGCTGAGGCCAGGAGAGGTAACCATCCACTCATTCATTCAATCCTTGTCTG